ATCTATCTATCTATCTATCTATCTATCTATCTATCTATCTATCTATCTATCTATCTATCTATCTATCTATCTATCTATCTATCTATCTATCTATCTATCTATCTATCTATCTATCTATCTATCAATCTATCAATCTATCTATCTATCCATCTATCCATCTATCCATCTATCTATCTATCTATCTATCTATCTATCTGTCTGTCTGTCTGTCTGTCTGTCTTGTGTGTGTATATATATATATATATATATATATATATATATATATATGTATATAGTTATATTTTACCAGTTTGTTAATAGGTAGTTTTATCAATACATTCTGCCATGTCAATTCTTTTGAGGACCTTCATGAGCTTGATGTGGCCCAAAATGAAAATGAGTTTGACACCCCTGCACTAGATGATATATACATATAGGTTCATGTGAACAGGGCTGTCAGAGTTGCAATGTGTTTATGTCAGTTGGGTGAACGATCTGATCTGATGGGTGATTGCAGAAATCCACATCATTAGCAGAAATAGAGGGCCCCTAACCAACTTTCACTTAGGGCCCCATGGAGGCTTGGGCTGGCCCTGATTAGAAGTGATTCTGGCTGAGTCATTTATTGTTTTGCCGTTTATGGACATGTTAAGGATAAATCATTAAATATTCTGCAGTCAATCAAACTCAAGAGAAAAAGTTACAATCAATATAAACAGAGTAAAACACTTTGATTGTGATTCACTTCTGTTTAGATTCTGTAACAGACACTGATATTTTCATTGTGCAGCTCAACACACATCTGTTCTGAAAGACACACCTGGAACGGTGGAGGGGTGGACACCGCAGGCAGGACGGAGGCAGCAGTGGCAGTGTTGTGTTCAGGGTGCTGCATGGCCAGAGGGTTAATGAGATGCTCCACAGTGTGCACCTTCCCGTCCTCCATCAGTTTGGTCGCAGGAGCAGCGCTGAACACCGGGTACTGTGCACCCAGAGCTGGCAACGCCACTGTGCACACAAGAGAGATCCAAAAATGAACGTCTGGACACTAGAGAGGGCCACACCAGAGGACAGGAGGAGGAACATAAGACCTGCAGCCATGCTCAGACATGCACACAATCATGTTAGATCAGAAGCCAACAGAAGGAAAATCAGCAGCTGAAGGAGACAATCAATAGAAAAGGGGAAAAATAAGTTACACAAACTGGTGTTGGAGTGTGATTTGGATTATGACGATGCTCAGCTGTGGATTAACCCGCTTGCCCCCCCCCCACACACACACCACAAATACAACATCAGCCATTATTTTAGAAACACAACTAGTCTTTTTGTTCTGGTGGGATCCTGTGATCCTCCAAAGACTTGGACTAGAAGCTAAACACCAGATTTAAGTTGGATTGACCTGTGAAGGTGACCAAACACAAAATCAATGCAAAATAATGACATTTAATGATGATGTTGAATAAAGCTTTTAGTTTTGTAATAGCATTCAGAACAGGAAAGATAATGCCAGTGTTTGCATTTTATTTGTATTTATTTGTAGTGGAGTGAAATATTTTTGCGCCCTAAAAAGTCACGGTTCAACCAAAACAACTTGTACTGGTACATGTTATATTTATTTTAGGGTCTACATCCATGTTGCTACGCTGTTGTTTTCATGTTATATGACCCCACGAGAAACAAAACGCATCAAAATGTACAATTTTTCACAACCTTGAGGTGAATTCTTGACTTCATAATGAAAATGGGGGATACATGCCAATCCCCTTCTTTTAATGTCTGACCCTGACCATTTGTTTGGACTTGGCCCATTTATTGCAACGACTTCCCACTGCCTCGTCTACAGACTGGACAGTCTGGAAAGTCAAAGGTACAAACATCAGCAGCAGCTTTCTATTCCACAACCACAGCACGTGTTTTGGTAAGCAGGGTTAAAAGTTATGGTCTTAAAATAACGTCTTCCTTTATCAACCCCAACTGATTAATCATGTTTATTTAACACTTAATATTTCACCTGCAGTAAATGGCTCTTTGACTGAACCCAGTTTGGAGAAACAAAGTTTGATTCTGACAGCACCGATGAGCAAATGGCTAGTCTGAGCGGGGCCACAAACAAAGTGGATTTTGCCACCTTAAAAACTGAAGTCTCAAAAGTTTTTATAGCCGTTCATAAAAAAATGTTTTTTTTATATACAGTGTTATTAGTTTCATGAAACACAAACTTTTCAACAGAATTTTGTGGTTATTTGTGAGCAAATAGCAGAAACAGCAAACAGCTGGAACTAGCGGTTAGCTCGTCAATCGGTCCGGTCAGAATAAAACTCTTTTTGTTCAGATTAAGGTGGTTCAACAAAAAAATCTAAATTATATATTTTTTTACATTTGTTTTTAAAAATAAACATTTAATAAATATATTATGTGCTCCATAGTAGAAATGTTTGTTTCTTTTGCCTTTGTGACATAATACCCCTGTGTAGTTAACCCTCAGAAGGTCCCTTAACTTTACGACAGGAAGTGTTTCTTGGAATAAATCGACCGCCCTACTAAACTGATTCAGAATCTCATTAGTTCGTCCACAATAACCTAGTCAGTATTTTATGGCCATCTCAGCCTGAAATAAAAAGATCAAATGTAAATATTTTTTTGTTTTGTTGTTTTACATTTTAGCTCCTCTAAGGCTTTTAGTAAAAAAAAAAATAAAAAATCACATTTCAAGTTTTTTTTACAGCAATTGTTAAATGAAAAAAAGAAGAAGGCATTTTCCCCCATTAGTTCGCTCAAAATTATTTTTTGACGTTTTATTTTTAAAGTTCTAGTCTGGAGTTTTGCGAAGACCATCCAGCTCTTCGAACCTTCCAGAAATTGTGGCCGAAAACAAGGCATCATTTTCAGTCAAACTTGTCAAGTCAGAGCAAGTTTGACTGAATCTATGACCTTCTATGACCTACACCATACGATGGTTGGTCATATAACTTTAATAAATTCTTACTCTTGAAATGTGTTTCTTTGTTAAACCCTTCTAATGCACAACGCCAGTTTGTTTTTTCTATTTTCACTTTGACTGAAGTGGACAGACTACCGAGCTGCTGCAGTCCAGTCCAGCTGTCATTGATGCCATGTTTTCTGTCAAGCCAACTGGAGTTAGCAATACGCTGGTGTAGAGGATTCTGCAGCCTGCATGCATGTGGAACAGCTTTTTGTATTAAATGTTTACTTGCGCATGCGTTTTTTTTTCTCTTTACATCTAAATTTAGACAATTTTTCTGGACGAGATGAGAGGCAGGACTCAACAGCAATGACCAGCCGGGAAAGACACACCTTGTACCGCGTAAGTTACAAACCCTAGCAGGGATTTTAACTGCATGTCTCACATGCAAAAGTGAAGCTAGTGAGCTGATATGAAATCTAAAGTATAGAGATAAATACTGAAACACTATGAAAGTAATAGATCATTTTATGACATGATTTACATGGGAGTGGAACAGTGGCTCAGTTGGTTGAGCTGTTGCCTCTCAGTGAGAAGGTTGCTGGACCGAATCCCGGCCGGGGGCCTTTCTGGGTGGAGTTTACCTGTTCTCCCCATGTAATTTAATCTTAATGTAATCCATAATCTTATTTATAATGTACAAAGCTCTCAACAACCTAGCTCCATCTTATATTACAGATCTTATTGTTCCATATTTTCCTAACAGAGCACTTCACTCTCAGACTGCAGGCTTACTTGCGGTTCCTAGAGTTTCCAAAAGCAGAATGGGAGGCAGATCTTTCAGTTCTCAGGCTCCTCTCTTGTGGAACCAACTTCCAGTTTCTGTCTGTGCGACTGACACATTGTCCAGTTTTAAGACTGGACTGAAGACTTTCCTTTTTGATAAATCCTATAGTTAGGGTTGGCTTGTTATGCTGCTATAGGCTTAGACTACTGGAGAACAAATTGACCTAATTTCCTTAAATGAATTGTTAAAATTGAATCATTTTCATTTGATACTATTTCTATCTTAACATGTGATTCTCGACCTGCCATTGTGTATCTGTTCCTCCTTCCTGTTCCTCTCAAACCCAGCTGGTCAAAGCAAATTCGATTGACTGCTGATTTATTTCATGTTGCTGTATTCATTCGTACTCATCTGCTCACACAGACTCATGTTTGTGCTGCGTGTTGTTTTTATACTACTAGTGCTTAGTGTATTCTCAGTTTAGCATATTTCTTAGTTCATATCTTAGATCTTATTACTGTTCTTCTTTTACAATTTATACTTTTGTTGGATGTAACTGAGACCCTGTGTACACAATTTTGTTTCATCACATGTACCACATGTATGACATGTATGACAATGAAGAAACCTTGACCTTGATCAGATGACCTCTTGTCCTGAGGCTGGTTCTGTTAAAGGTTTCGTTCTCATGAGGGAGTTTTTCCTTTCCACTGTCGCCTTCATGCTTGCTCAAGATGAGAGTTCTATGATGGAGTTAAATTCAAAGCAGTCTGCTCCTCAGATAAATAATATTAACTTATTATTTTTTTATATTTATTAATGTTTCTGTTTCTGTTGTGACAGTGCTATATAAATAAACTGAACTGAATTGAATTTACATTATGTTTTCTCGGGGTACTTCAGTTTCTTCCCACAGACCAAAAACATGCATGTTAGGCTGATTGGTAACTCTAAATTGTCTCTAGGTGTGAGTGAGAGAGTGAATGATTGTTTGTCTCATTTGTCTCTATGTGTCCCTGTGGTGGACTGGAGACCTGTTCAGGGTGTCCCCCGCCCTCCCACAGTAGCTATGTTGACATGGACATAAGTAATCGGATTAAACAGCCATTCAGAATAAAAATGTATCATGTAAACGCCCTATTCAGATTATTCTTTGTTGATTCAGCTCGAGCCGAATGAATTTGTAATCAGAATGAGACGAGTGGTTTATGCCGATTCTCAATCCAAACGGGGTGCATGTAAACACTTAATCTGATCATTTTATTCCGATTGTCGAGAACTGACCTGACTGCACATGTGTCAACCTCGCGTATTTCCACCTGGCTAATGCTAATATGTCGGAGAAGCAAAACTGGTCGGTGAGCGACAACATTTCTTCTAGAAACTTTGAAAGAGCTCAAGATGATCTGTGTTACCTGTAGCTCAGTCAGGGAGTGCAGTGACGTCTCCACCGTCATTAAAACCTGGAGTCCATTTTGGGACCTCAGGTTTGTTTACGTTCATCCCGGAAGTAGAACTTCTTCTTATGTGTTTTTTTTTTTTTGGAAAGTTTACCACTCTGCGCATGTCAGTACTTCTATTCAGAATAAAAGCCTGCTGCATGTAAACGCTTGTCATGATCAGACTGTGCTCATGTAAACGATACATTTGGATTATTTAATCCGAATACATTTCAATTCGATCAAAGAATTTTGCGCATGTAAACATAGCTACTGACTGCTGGACATGGGCACCAGTGACCCCATGACCCGACAAGGAAAAAGTGGTTAAAGATAATGGATGGATGGATATATGAGGGATGCATTTATAATGGATTTCAATAGGGTCAATTTTCCCCAAAAGAACTCTAGAGGGCAGTAATGTTACTGTGAGGTTTTGGGATTTGAGAAGACTAGAAACAATTCTTACACAGTAAAGTGCTTGGGGTGCTACAGATATAATTACTGTCATTAAATTTAAATTCTAGTTTTATTTCAGATTAACTCATCAGTGGGCTGGACTGAGTCCACCCGTGGGCTGGATGTGGCCCCCAAGCCGCCAGTTGAATAACCCTGATGTAAATACAGAACACCAACCTATGGGTTGTATTAAAGGTTATAAACAAGGGACCTATATGATCATGGGTAAAAGGATTTAAACGTTTCTTTTATTGTGCAACTGTAACTTTTATGGTAATATGCTCTCCTGTAAGACTGCTTTCTTCTCGAGTTCTGCGAGCTGAGTTTTTATTTTTGTGTAAAATGATACTATTTGCATGTTTCAGCTTCATTTCTTTCAGCACACTGTCAGGAAAAATTCAGACAAAAACAACACTACATGTCATAACTTATCAGCAAGTTCCTCACAATTCATTCATCAGGTTGTCAAATCAGCTATTATTTAAAAAAAAAAAAAAGATTATTTCTTTCCAAACACTGACATTATTCTTAAAGGTAATCAGAATAAAGTGGAAATACAGATCATCTTCAGTTCTTGTGTTAGTGCTGCACTTCAGCTCCAGTTTTGACAGCAAATCTTAAACTAGCAAAGCAAAGAAACTCCATGCAAGCAATTTAGAATCATTTTTGGATACTTATACATTTCAACTCTTTCCAAGATTCAAAAAGCAGAAATTGCCCACCATCTTTCAAAAAGACAAAAGTTGAGCTGAAGCATGTGACTGAAAGCATAATAGTCCGGTCCTGTTCAGATCTGTAACACAGTGCTGTGTGGAGAAGCATTAAAAATGGCTAAATGTTGTAAAGACATTCGAAAAGTGCTCGGGTAAGTCTGGCTTTTACCTTTAAGTGATCAGAAAACAGTTCTTACTGTCTTCAAAGTCCTTAAGAGTCTTAACAGTTGAAGAGGTGCTAACCAGTGTTGGCTCTACACAGCACTGGTTTGAATCTGAACAGCAGACAAGACCATGTTCTGATGAGAAAATGGACAGAAGAAAGGGTGAGATGAAGCTGTTGCTTTCTGGTCGAGCCTGAACGGACAGATGTTTCGTGTCGTCACTCGATCAGACAGAAGAAGCCGTTTTGCTCATGACCATCCAGCAACAGCCCCCGTGGTGATTGGCGAGAGGCTCGTCGAAGCACACAGGACAGAGGTTTAGTAAGGAAACGGGAGAGGGGCAAGGACGCAGACGACTGGACACTGACTTGTGCCAGGTTTGATGCCGACTGGGTTGACGGAGGCAGCGAGCTCCAGACTGGGCATCAGTTCATAGGGCTTTTCAGGCAGTTTGGGCTTGCCCTCGTGGTAGCGGCTGTAGATGCCACGACCGGCAGAGTAACCCCCGAGGTACGACCCCCGAGGCCCGGGGGTACGATTACCTGCAGCAGCACGACCTCGACCTCTCACAGTACCTGCTTAAAATACAATTACAGGGGTTCTGGTTTAGGACTTGGGCCACAAGTTATGGCGTTGGGTTTTGGAACTTCTTTGGAAGTTCTTGGCATGTAATATTTTTAACAGTCTGCTGGTTACTTCTAATGTTTGTGTTCATTTTCGCTCAGGAGGCAATCTGAAAGCCTTTGAGTGGTGAGCCTCATCCCTGAGCATTTTTCTGATTTTTCAAAATCCTACAGATAATCTGCAGATCTGCAAAATGGTACAGGACATTTGGAGCTGTGACGGGAATCCTAACATGAAATGCGAGAAAATGCGACACGATATCACAGCAGGAAAGATGGGGGTGTTAGAAAATGTAAAGTTTGTCACATGGCAAGAAAGCTCATTGTTCATTGAAAGATATGAGTATGAATGTGAGAGATTACCATTGTTCTGTATCATTGGGAATCCTTTGGAGAGAAAACCAAAACACAATGATTGTTGATAGTTCCTGCTCCCCTCCAAGACCACATTTAATCAATCATTTAAGATAATTAGCATTCATTGGTCCATCAACATTTTTTTTTCTTTTTTGTCTATGGCTTTCAACACATCTTTGATTTGAAGCCACAAATTCTCATCAAGGTAAAGTTTTAGAAAACATCAAGTGAAATATGTTGCAAGAAATCAGTAATGTTTTAGTCATTATGAACATAAACATATAAATCATCGTTGGGTTGACTTTTAATTTTTACAAAATCATTGTCCTAATATCATTTTTCTGCCATCATGAACTCTGATAGTTTCTATTGCCACCGACATTTTAAAAACAGATGTTTTGTGTGCAAAGAATCATTTCAAAAGTTTAAAAACAACAACCAACCTTTCACAAAGTAGTCCCTGTTGGGTCCGATGAGCGTGTTGTAAGGGTAGCCGTAGTAGGCCAGCGTGTAGGGGTCACACTGGTAAACGTAGCTCTGCTGGGCAGGTTCAGGAGTGGCAGAGATTCCTCCTTTGGAGGCTTTCTGGCGGGAGTATTGCTCTTTATCCACCGGTTTGGCGAGCGTCACTTCGATGCAGGACCCTTCGATCTCCGTGCCATTCAGGTGGTCCATGGCCAGCACGGCATCGTCTCGGGACGTGAAGTGGACGAAAGCGTAGTCACGGATTTTCTTGACGCGCTCCACACACCCGTGGTTCCACTGGCTGAAGATCTGCCAAATGGAAACAGAAAGAGTAAGACCGTCTGACATGAATAAAGTCACACTGTTGTTTTTAGACGTTCACCTTTCTAATCGTCTCCTCACTGGTCTCCATCATTAGATTCCTGACGTAAAGGATCTTCACTGTTTCCATCACGTCTTCGTCTACATCGATCTCAGGCTCGGCCCAGTCCACTGCGATCTGATGGCCCCACAGCTGGATGCGGCCGGGCATCAACTTCCTGCGAGCCATGGCAGCCGCGCGATGCGACTCGTACTCCACGAAGGCAAAGCCACGGTTCTTCATCTTGTCTGCGGCGCTCGCATAAACTATCACATCCAACACACCTTCTGTCACCTTGGAGACCTCCTCCAGGATCTCCTCACGCTTCTTGGTTTTGGGAATGCCGCCGATGAAAAGCCGGCAGTTGTCCACAGAGGAGCAGACCCCCAGCAGCCGGCCGGGCCGCACCTCGTAGTTGTTGAGCTCACGCACGGCCCTCTTGGCCTCGTGTTTCTGCGTGTACATCACAAACGCGTACCCCCGGTTCTTCCCGTCGAAGTCCATCATCAGACGCATCTCGTAAATATTTCCCACGGACTCGAACACGGGCACCAACTCGTCCTCATAAACATCTCGAGGGATCTTGCCAACAAAGATTTCACACCCTCGAGGGGGAGCTGGACCGCTCCAACCTGGAGGGGGCCCATATTTACGCTGACCGTTCTCCTGCACCATGCCGTAGCCGGTGCGCTCCATCAAGGTCAGCAGCGCTGGCTCATTAGGAGCTCCCGCAACTCCCTCTGGGACGTTGCTCTGTCCTTGGAGGGAATGGTAGGAGGCACCGGAGGACTTGGAGGGTTTGGAGGGGGCAGCGTTATTGCTCATGGTTGAGGAGGAAGCAGGATCTTCGGCTGTCATGCTGACAAAACCATCCAATCAGAGAGGGGCCCTGAAGACAAATGCAGAGGAGCAGATTTATCTAACCATGTTAAACTGTGACTACTGAAAAAGGGAGAAGACAACAAGAAGAAGAAAGACAAACAAGGCAAAAAGAGAGAATTGATAGGAAGACATTATTTCACCGATAAAGGTCAGGGCGAGATCTGTGTGAGGTGTTGCAAAAATGATTAACAGAGCACAAAGCATGTGAGATTATCTATCAAACAGCTCGGACACATTATGTGACCTGAACACACAAATGGAGCGGCTCCTATAAATCCTGGGACGCCTTTCCCCTATCAGTGCTTTTACAGCCTTGTTTTGTTCAGTCCCTCGATCCCTCGCTGACCTCTGACCCCTATCAGCAGGAATGAGGGGCTGTAAACCCTGAAAACTGCGGCTCAAGGTTCGCCGTGTATGACTCGGTCACATGCTCGCTGAGTGTGTGTGTGTCAGAAAAAACAAGACCTGTTAGAGTTAAGCTACATGAGGAAATATGTGGGAAATATGACCCCCTCCCCCTACACACCCACACACACACACAAATATTACAAGAGCATGTTGGACTTTGAACCCTCTTATCAATATGAATGTGATATACTGTGTGTGTGTGTGTGCGTGCATTCATTAAGCACTAAAAGAGAACAATCAGAAATCGGCTTCTCAAACATAAACCTCTTACTTTCTTATTTTCCAACACAGCCAGTATTCAGAGCGGAACAACCACAGCGTTCCAAATCTCGTACGACCCCAGACCCAAAGATCTGCGCGCCGTTTTAAAACGTAAATATATACATTCTGCCAGCCAGGAAGGTGTCATTATGTGCGTCATAAGATTACCTGGACTTTGAGGAAAACAGGCGAAGGTGAAACACTGCAAAGCCGAGCAACCATGGCAACATGCACACTCATTTGACCTGACCCAGTATATGAGTCTCCAACCACCACACACACACACCTGTTTATTTGCTGGTTCCCTCAAGGCTGGGGAGCTTAAAATGACCACAAAACAGCTGACAGCTGGAATAAAACAACAAACCAGTCGTTTAATGGACTAAAAGAAGACACTTGAAGCCAAAAGTATCATTTTTGTGGTTATGCTGTTTTGACAGGAAGGTCAAATCGGAGAGAAACACAAGTGAGACACAGATGCCACGAGCCAGTATGAAACCTTACCTTTCACAGAACATGATATGAACACATGAAGTGGTCGCGTGAAAAGTCACGGTTTGGTTCTGCTCAGCGAGCCGTCTAGTTCTGCTCCAAAAGGAAACGCACTTCAAGAGTCCGGGTCTTATCAGCTCCGTCCGATGACAAAGGGAGGACACTATTTGGGAGTCCAGGCTGTGTGACACCTTTTTTTTTTTTGAGGGGGATCTTTTGTTTATTTGGAATTTATATTAGTAGCTCGACTCCATCTGCGTCCTGATTTAGATCATTTGGATATAGTCCTAATGTGTTTGTGGTTGAAATAAAGCAAAACGCAGGAACAGTCAGTGCCGGAGTGCTACATTTCTGAAAAGTATTTGTTACAAATTAAAGGCGTAGTGTTCTTTGAAGGAATGCAGAGTCTGAGCCGTTTTGGTCAAACCTAAAAAAGTAACGCTGTGCGCGGTCTCATACAGTATCGCAAGAGGCCACGCTTAGAGTTTGTGCTGTGAATGACTCTCAGCTCCTACCGCAGCAGCTTTAAACTGAGCCGCTAAAAAACTGACTGAGTTATAGCTATTTTAGTGTTTGGTTAGGTTGATTAGCTGTGGCGGCCATCTTGAATTGGGTTGACTTCAAAAGTGAAAGAGAGGTGGGTGTACATCCAGTAATTACTTTCTGGGAGTTTCATTAAAATCTGTCCAGCAATTCATGAGATATTTTGCTAACAGACAAACAGGGTTGACTCTGTGAGTTACTACTAAAGTTTTAGGTAAAGATATTGCAGAATGAGTAACATTTGTAGTGTACAGTGTAAATAACTCTCAGCTACTACCACACTAAATTTTAGCCAATAATTTGTAAAAGTGGCTGAATTACTGCCATATTTGTGTTCTCTAAGATCAGCTGGCCGTGGCGGCCATCTTTAATGGGGTTTGCTCTAAAAGGTAAATATTTGTAGAGGTACATCCATTGATTATTTCCTAAAAGTTCCTTTAAAATCTGTCCTTTGGTTTATGAGATATTTTGCAAGCAGACACATGATTACACGCGTACAACGTAACGAACAATAAAAAGTCCCATCAAGGGGAGAGCGCTGGCGCAGTCGGCGTTACGTGCACACGATCCCGTGCATTTGTGAGAATTGAGAGGAAACCTGAAGCAGGAGCAGGTAGATGATTAACCCCGGTGAAAGCAAATCACAGCCTTTGCTCCGAGGATGTAAAGATTTACAGATGTTGACCGCTGCAGACGAGTTATGAGCGCCCAACGCCGTGATTTCTCCGGCAGCTGTCCGGTTAAACATCACCAGAGCTCAGGACCGGAGTCCACCTGGTCAAAGGTTGTGAACTCACAGAGGAGCACACAACCTGAAGAAAGGTAGTGTTGCAGCCGTTGCCATGGAGACCGCCCATTACCTTATGTTTATGATTGATAGAAGCGCCTGAACCTCGGCATATTAACCTGCGATTGGAGAGCGGATTGTTTTACGAGGCTTCCCGTGGGATCTCCTCACGCACGCACGGCCCTTCTGCATCGAGCAAACTGAATCGTTTTCCACACGCATGGAGAAGAACCAACAGCAGCACAGTTCCTCATCGCTCGAAAGAGGAAGAGCGTTGCATTTGAAATGCTCTCGTACTGATGATGAATCAGTGCTGCAGCTGAGAACAGATGTTTACACAGCAGCGAACATCACACTTTACAAGAACACCTACTGACGAAATGAGGCCTAAAGCAGGCGACGCTACAGACATGGAGGCAAGTGATTGGCAGGGTTCGCCCAGCAGCTGCTGACAACAGTGTCACAAATCAGCAGAACCGGATCAACAGAACTCTAACTGTAAGCCCCTATCCTGCTGTAGATACACACAACACAAAGCAGCAGCAGACAGGAGGCTAAACGACTCGTGGAAACGAGGCTCAAACCATCCTTCAAGTCTTTGACTAACCCTCACGCCGTCTCAGGCCTCAGAAAGTTGTGATTCAAGGTCAACAGATCCCAGAGACAGAGACAGAGGGGGGAAGTGAGACTGGAGCCGAGCAGCAGTCTTGAGAAAGATGTGTCACAGCGGAGGGACGGTGGGAAAGAGAAGAGGAAGCAGAGAGGAGGATATCTACCCCGGTGTGCTCCTCAGCGCTCCGCCGCCTGCTCTGGGAGTGTTAGTCCACCTCCATGAGAGACAGGTACAGCAGGGCACAGAGTCCAGCCTCCTCTGCACACGTGCGCGCGCACGCACGCACTGAGCCAAAGCTGAAACCATGAGAGCTGGTGAAGGCGGAGCTAAAGCAGGTACTTCTGTGAGCCGGGTGCGTGGGTGGATCCGTGACTTTTCAGAGTGTTATTTCTCTCAAACCTTCAAAGACACTTTTTCTTATGGACTGATCAAATATTGTGAAAATGAAAAGAATCCTCTTTAATCCTCCTGCGGTTGTTATTAAAGTTATTTTCACATGACATAATATAAATCCTTCAACCTTATTCAGTTTGAATCAAAGTAACAACTAGAGCCGACAGAGAGAGAACTCGTGAATACAATTTCTATTTCTCCCCTCTCCCATAAACGGTTTATCGTTTTATTTCTCTAATTTTTATTCATTTCCATCTTGGAGAGCCACTTTAACACTTTATGGTGTCAGAACAGCAAAAAGTAATCATGAAGGAAAAATCTTTTGTTTTAGCTGAATAAAAGATAAAACATTCATTCATTCGTTCATTTATTTGCTCCTTCCCTTTCCAGAAGCTGTCACTGCATCAGATTTTCCTTCTCCTTTTTTAGAACAGGTAGTTTGTGAACAGAGAGGTGCATGATGGGAAATGCAGTTTTATCTGGCTGGTTTTATCAGGTTTTTCTGCTTAGAGAGGCAGAAAAGGCAGCAGGAAATTTTTAAACCTCTGCTTTTAGAATACTTCCTCATGTTTGTGTCACACAGAAAGGACATTTGGAAACTCTGACCCCGAGTAAAGGATTTATGTTGTGTCAGCACATGGCTCACTGTGTGTGTGTGTGTGTGTGTGTGTGTTTAGGTTACTTTGTAAGGCCCATTTTTCCAGCTTATGAGGACCAACTGCTTCTTATGGGGCCCAAAGCCTGGGCCCCATAAGAAGCAGTACCGTGAATAGAGAATGGGTTAGGGTTAGGTATGTACTGGTAACGGTTAGGTTTAGGGTTAGGCTATGGAAATGAATGAAAAATGAATGGGAGTCAATGCAAAGTCCCTGTAAAGATAGAAAGACAAACGTGTGTGTGTTTTGTACATAACAACGGTGAACATGTTCCTCGCAGCTTAACTTATGCAAACAGCACACACCTTCCTGGGCAGTCAAGAGAGCAGATAGAGAGCCAGAAACCAGCCGAATGAGAGGCGACGGGCTCGCATTCTGGAGGGTTTCTGCCTGAAAACTCCAGAAACTAACGAAGCGAGGAGGCAAAGAGAATAAAAATCAACAGTGTGTTCACCTCCAGCTGCCGATGCGACCATCCTGGTTCTACAAAACTGAGCACACGTGAACAGATCAGTGATTAATGGAGCACAGATAGGTTCAAGTGTGGACAAAAGAGACAAATGAATGAGTGTGGCAATCTAATATTCAAACGCTGGAGGTTTGAACTATAAATAGAGCTGGGTGGTAAGAATGTAACCTGGATTATGTCATCTGATTACAAAACAATGACAGAAGCTGGATTTAATGTTGCTTTTCTGCATACATGAAGCTAAGAGTCACTTTTACTGAAATTTAATCAAACAGGGGGGACAGTGTGTCCAGCTGTTGGACACAAACACGACCTGGCACGGTGAGGAAAACAAGGAAAGGTCCAAACTGTAGCTACGCAGTCAGAACATTGAGTCATCGGTGCT